TTCAGTAGTAGACTTTAAGAACACTGATTTATTATAAACTCGGATATTTCTGCCACTCCTGTGGCCTTCATCAGCGAGAATGAGGAAAACATCATGAATCAATATAATATAGGCTGTCTTATCAAAAAAGAATAAAGGTGACAGAGAGCACTATATCAAGTTGCTTACATTGCGTAAGGAAAATAATGTGTGACCTAGTCTTGGCCATCTTAGTGAGTAGAGATTCATGATGTCTTCTGGCGTGGAGAGCTACCCGGTCCAAACGGGGTCCAAAGTAATATTTCATTTGTGTTCCACGTGTGTTCCGACAGAATAATAGAAAATAATGAAACAATTTCAGTAGTAGACTTTAAGAACACTGATTTATTATAAACTCGGATATTTCTGCCACTCCTGTGGCCTTCATCAGCGAGAATGAGGAATATATATATATGTATATATATATATATATACTGTATGTATGTGTGTAGGACAGTGGTGTATTTAGGTGTATTGACATGGAGGACTAGTGGGGGGAGGGGTGTGCAAAGGTTAAGCGGTAAGGTGTTGACTTGGAAAATGAGGTAATTTGAGGTGATTTTTAAGTACAGTTAATTTTTTCACTTAGCAGATTTTCAAGGGTAGAAGTTGAGATTGTGCAAGCTTTTTTCGGGGAGCATGTGTGTTGCCATGTTTCCTTGTAGATGCACCACTAGTATATGATAACCAGAGGAGGATCCAATTAGCCACGGGGGTGAGGAGGAATCTTTCCCCCTTCCAAACAACTATAGAAAAGAAAAAGTAAAAGGAGAAAGAGGGGAGCCCAGTACTGTAAAACAAGCTATTTTTCGTGCCCCACCTTTAGGCTGTAACGATCAAGAGGAAATAGTCATTAAGAAAATGTAGGTAGCGGTAGCTTTTATTACGAAGAAATGAGAATTCCAAACTAAGCAATGCGCATGCGCAGTTACCAAATAACGTCTGTGAATTATTTAAAAAAGACCCAGTGAGCATGCGCTTGGAAGTAAGTGACGTTATCAAGGCATGTCGAGCATGCGCCGTTACCAAAAAGATGTCTCAGTAACCAAATAGCGGCTGTTAAGATATCTTAAGAACCAAATAGCGGCTGCGAAGAGAGTATGATTATCAAGAAATCGTCCAGAAACCAGCAGCTGCGAAGAGGTTATGAAATAGAAACGGGAAAACTATATAGGACTATGGATGGAATATAATGAAAACTTGAGCGGGTCGAAAGCCTCTATTTTGGCTATCTTTACAGCCAGTTCATCAGTGTTCGTCAGGGGGAATTGTAATTAAATTATCGCAAAAAAAGTATATTAGGCTCTATTGTCGTACCTACGTACGTAGACCTATGCATTGACAATCCCATAAAAAAATAACCACAGAAAACTGACGACACAACCTAGGGCCTAGGCCTACTACTACTACTAGCCAAGTAGTAGAGCCAGGGTATTCCACATTTAATGTCGAAAAATACGTGCCTTACGCTGGAGAGTGTTATAGGCTAACTATTATCGAGATATCGTACGGTACTCATGTTTTATCGACCAATATAAAATAGCCACACACTGGCGGCAGTAGTAGAAAGGCCAAGCCAAGCTGTAGTGGAGGAGAGGAATGAATACAAATAAATTAAATAATATTAAAATTAGTATTATTATTATTAATATTAATAACAATAATGGTAAAAATGTGGTTTTGCTCAGTGGTTTTCATTCTAGTTGTTGAACTTGTAGGCAGCAGGAGTACAAACAACAAACAGTAACAGACCCCATGGATGGCAGAACGAACAAGGGAAAAAAAACAACGTAAACTAGATTAAGAGATGAACATTTATTGGGGAAGAGTGAAATCGTGCAACCCAGTAAGTGAAAAAGATTGATTTGGCGTCGACATCCCGAAAAAATTTGTCCAGTAGTGGATCGACAGTAGTTGAGGATGAAGCCTCTGAAGGTTATGAACGTGGTCGAGCCTTGAGTCTAGGTGACACCTTAATTAAATGGGATTACAACCCATACAAAGTGGGGTTGATCACCATAACAAAAACATAGATAATGTATGTTTGTAAATTTTTTAATTAATTTAGGAATTCAAAGATAAGAATATTGTTCCATTTATTAAGAAACATAAGTGTATAAAAATATCGCACATGAGTCTTAATAAATGTTCAACAATGTTTCTCAAACCTGCTTATTTTACAGCAAAATATACCAGTACATAAGCCCATATGATATTTGCTATTGTCAATATGTATGTTGTTAAATGATATAAACAAAGGAACTAAATAGTGGCTGCAAAGAGGGTTTGATTACCAAAAAATCGTCTGAGGAACCAAACAGCGGCTGCGAAGAGGGTAAGAAATAGCAAGGGATGGAACTTTATATGCAACAATTGAGAATGCGCAATTCAGCTAAAGCGATCAGGTTATGGATGGAAAAGCCTCTATTTTGGCTATCTTTACAGACAGTTCATCAGCGTTCATCAGTGTTTGTCAGGGGGAACTGTAATTAAATTATTGCAAAAAAGGGTTTATTAGGCTCTATCGTCGTACCTACGTACGTTGGCCTATGCATTGACAATCCCATAAAAAAATAACCACAGAAACTGACGACACAACCTACGGCCTAGGCCTACTACTACTACTAGCCAAGTAGTAGAGCCAGGGTATTCCACATTTAATGTCGAAAAATACGTGCCTTACGCTGGAGAGTGTTAGGATTAGGCTAACTATTATCGAGATATCGTACGGTACTCATGTTTTATCGACCCATATAAAATAGCCACACACTGGCGGCAGTAGTAGAAAGGCCTAGCCAAGCTATAGTGGAGGAGGGGAATGAATACAAATAAATAAAATAATATTAAAATTAATATTATTATTATTAATATTAATAACAATAATGGTAAAAATGTGGTTTGGCTCAGTGGTTTTCATTCTGGTTGTTGAACTTGTAGGCAGCAGGAGTACAAACAACAAACAGTAACAGACCCCATGGATGGCAGAACGAACAAGGGAAAAAAAACAATGTAAACTAGATTAAGAGATGAACATTTATTGGGGAAGAGTGAAATTGTGCAACCCAGTAAGTGAAAAAGATTGATTTGGCGTTGACATCCCGAAAAATTTGTCCAGTAGTGGATCGACAGTAGTTGATGATGAAGCCTCTGAAGGTTATGAACGTGGTCGAGCCTTGAGTCTAGGTGACAGCTTAATTAAATGGGATTACAACCCATACAAAGTGGGGTTGATCACCATAACAAAAACATAGATAATGTATGTTTGTAAATTTTTAAATTAATTTAGGAATTCAAAGATAAGAATATTGTTCCATTTATTAAGAAACAAAGTGTATAAAAATATCGCACATGAGTCTTAATAAATGTTCAACAATGTTTCTCAACCTGCTTATTTTACAGCAAAATATACCAGTACATAAGCCCATATGATATTTGCTATTGTCAATATGTATGTTATTAAATGATATAAACAATTAATATCAAAATAGTGATATAAAGTGCTTACCCAAACTTTATCACCATGACAAAGCATGGATAATGTATGTATGTATGTTAAATAAATTTAGGAAGTTTAAAGATAAGAATATTGTTCCAATTATTAAGAAACATAAATGTATAACAGATCTCACATGGATATTAATTGATAATGATGATGATGATGTTCATCAATGTTTCTCAAACCTGCTTATTGTTCAACAAAATATACCAGTACATAAGCCTGTAAGGACTCATTTTAAAATTGTATTAACATAATGATTATTTAAAATCAATTTTATTCAAAAACACAAAGAAAATACATTACAAAAATTGGATAAAAGAAAAACACACGTTCTTAAAATAAAATAAACGACAAGAGAGGGGACAGAGCCCAAACAGATTACAAAAGAAGAAAGATAGAAGAGGAAAGGAAAGGGAAGACAAGACAGACAAGGAGAAAAGACAAAAATATCAAAATATAAAAAATAGAGATATATATGGATACATAATAATTTAATAATTTGCGATTTGCAAATAATATAATAATTTGCGATTTGTATAGTGCCTCCCGTTGAACCAGCCTCGAGACAACAACGAAAAGAAAAGAAAGAAAAAAAGTTAAACCATGAACCCGAACTCAAGAAACACTTGAAACCTAACTGAACCAAAAACAACATCGCACCGTTTATCAGAAATTTAAGGTGCAAAGCCTGCTGATACACATAATCCTCTATACTTCTTCAATTAGTAGTCTATGCAAAAAAAAAATAAAACCCATGACAATAAGAATACAAATGCCTGGCTTTTGTTAGCTCCATTCAATTAATCTGGTCCAGCCATTATTATTTAAGTGCAGGGTGACTTGGTTTTAGACTGCAATATTTCAATTTTGGGGATTTCCCCAAACTCTACAGTAAGTCTGTATTTCAGTGATTAGATTATTGAAGTGTTTTTCTAATTCACTTGTGGTTAGTTATCAAAATGATTGTGTCTTTGATCATTTCTGGGTTTAAAAAAAAATCACATCAGATTCCTTAGGTCAAACATTTATTCAATATCTCGGAATTTCCATATCATTGCTGTTTATAATGGTGCATTTACATTTTTCTAAATAAATTTATGTACAAATATAATTTGATTGTAAGGATTGTTTTGTAAACTCATTTTGATTGCTAATAGTTGCCACCTTATTATCATTGAAGTTATTATTTGGAATAGTCTGCTAATTGAAACAAGACTCAACTTCTCTAAACAACTTTAAAATAGATACTACAGCATTTATTCAACAGCAAAGTTAATAATAGAATTTATGTTAATTTATATGCCTAATATTTTATGTCATCATTATTTTCGTTTTTTGGGCAGATAAAACCATTTGGTGATAGGAACTTGTTCCCCCTTCGTCTGAGCTCTCCTTTGTATATTTTGTAGTCTTGATGTTTTGTTTTTTTTTGGTTTTTTTTTGTTGAAATATATATATTATATTATGTTATTATTATATAAAAATCATTCCTTTTATCCATCAGATTTTTTGGGTAAGCAGTTGGAGACATATGTGGCCCAGCTACCAGTACCGGTGCGAGTAGAGAGAATGGGGACAAGAAGCGGTCTGATTAGGGCACGTCTGAGAGGAGCCTCAGTTGCTACGGGGCAAGTGATCACTTTCCTTGATGCCCACTGTGAATGCACTAAAGGCTGGCTTGAACCACTCCTTGCTAGGATTTACTTAGACAGGTTTGTCAAGTTTGTTTATATTCACTTTCATTCGCTAATTAAGCCATGTTACTATCATACTTTTTTAGTTTAAGATATACAAGCCACGTTGTTTGTTTGGCCTAGCAAATTATACCAGGAAAGATTAACCAAGGACTTTGGATTAACTAGGCTGCGTGGGAATGTGTAATGCAAACATCCTGACTTTGTTATGTGTTCCTCTTATGGGGCTTTTTTGAATTTGCTTCATATATATTTTTCTGAGGTTCACCTCAAATCATGATGGCCTTTCCCTCAGTTATATCATTTATTTTGTTTCTACATTTTGTAAGCGAGAAAACAGCTAGAGACTATAGGTGTTTTTTCAGTTAGCTGATTGTTGGAGCGGTTGGAACAGCACTTGCGATTTAGGCTTTTAACATTCAGGTACAAAGCTTGAACCACTTGCTCTGCATTTCCTTGTGTCCTTGGAGAAAACCACTTCCAGGGTTGTTTCTCTCCACCCAGGTGTATAAGTGGGTAACCTGGTAGGCTTGAACGCCAATATGTGTTGTGAAAAAGTAGCAACAATATTTTGAAATTCTTCCCCAGGAAAATGAGTAGTATTCCATCTGTGTTTGATCCAGTGATCTGCGTAATAATGTATAAGCGCATATAAGCCGTTAGCATGATGCCATAAAAAACTGGCATAATATTATTAATTAGTTGATAATAATAGTAGTATTTTAGGGTTTATTTTGCCACATGTTTATTTATTTTTATTTATTGATTGATTTATTTTATTTATTTATTTTTTTTATTTTTTTTTATTTATTTATTTTTATTTATTTCTTTTATTCTTTGTTTCTTTTGACTGGATACATTTTCAATATCATTGCTGTTTATAATGGTGCATTTACAGTTGTCTAAATAAATTTATGTACAAATATAATCTGATTTTTATATGTTCAACTAATTTAAAGGATTGTTAATTGTAAACTCATTTTGATTGCTAATATTTGCCAACTTATTATCATTGAAATTATTATTTGGAATAGTCTGCTAATTGAAACAATATTTTATTTATTTGTTTGTTTGTTTTATTTTGTTTTATTATTATAGGGTGAAGGATTTTTCACCCTATGAGTTAGTTAGGAGTAGTATATATATATATATATTTGTAGGACAACATTCGTTGGGAGCTATGCTACACAATGTATTATCTTGTCCTTTTATACACATCTAGATGTGTATAAGAGACAGTAGCCAAGTAGTAGAGCCAGGGTATTCCACA